GAAAACATAGGTCTCCGCTTTGGTTTTCCTCCGGAGGCCTTACGGAGATAATCGTTTTTTGTTGTTGTTTTGTTTGGTTGGGGTTGCTGGGCAACGCGTCCTTATGACCCGCTTTGACTACTATCAGTCAATGCGGGTAAGGCGAGCGCAGGGCACGCGTCCCTCATGAGCGTTTTTGTTTTGTTTTGTTTGTTTTTTGTTTTTTTCCCCCCAAACCATCCTGTGGTGTTGGGTCCTCGTTTTGAAGAGACGGTGCCCCGCGTCTCCTCTCCTCCTCTCCTCCTTTCCTCCTCCTCCCCCTCCTCCTCCCTCCTCCCCCTCTTCCCTGCGTTTCACCCACCCAGTACAGCCGCTCGTGGCTCCATAGGGAGCTCCGCCGAAGGCCCCAGTGCCCGCGCCCGCATGCGTCACCCACACCCAATTCGGCTCACCCCTCACACGTTTCGTGGCTCCATAGGGAACTCCACCGAAGGCCCCAGTGCCCGCGCCCGCATGCGTCACCCACACCCATTTCGGCACACCCCTCACACGTTTCGTGGCTCCATAGGGAGCTCCACCGAAGGCCCCAGTGCCCGCGCCCGCATGCGTCACCCACACCCATTTCGGCACACCCCTCACACGTTTCGTGGCTCCATAGGGAGCTCCACCGAAGGCCCCAGTGCCCGCGGCCGCATGCGTCACCCACACCCATTTCGGCACACCCCTCACACGTTTCGTGGCTCCATAGGGAGCTCCACCGAAGGCCCCAGTGCCCGCGCCCGCATGCGTCACCCACACCCATTTCGGCACACCCCTCACACGTTTCGTGGCTCCATAGGGAGCTCCACCGAAGGCCCCAGTGCCCGCGCCGCATGCGTCACCCACACCCATTTCGGCACACCCCTCACACGTTTCGTGGCTCCATAGGGAGCTCCACCGAAGGCCCCAGTGCCCGCGCCCGCATGCGTCACCCACACCCATTTCGGCACACCCCTCACACGTTTCGTGGCTCCATAGGGAGCTCCACCGAAGGCCCCAGTGCCCGCGGCCGCATGCGTCACCCACACCCATTTCGGCACACCCCTCACACGTTTCGTGGCTCCATAGGGAGCTCCACCGAAGGCCCCAGTGCCCGCGGCCGCATGCGTCCCCCACACCCATTTCGGCACACCCCTCACACGTTTCGTGGCTCCATAGGGAGCTCCACCGAAGGCCCCAGTGCCCGCGCCCGCATGCGTCACCCACACCCATTTCGGCACACCCCTCACACGTTTCGTGGCTCCATAGGGAGCTCCACCGAAGGCCCCAGTGCCCGCGGCCGCATGCGTCACCCACACCCATTTCGGCACACCCCTCACACGTTTCGTGGCTCCATAGGGAGCTCCACCGAAGGCCCCAGTGCCCGCGCCCGCATGCGTCAGCCACACCCATTTCGGCACACCCCTCACACGTTTCGTGGCTCCATAGGGAGCTCCACCGAAGGCCCCAGTGCCCGCGCCCGCATGCGTCAGCCACACCATTTCGGCACACCCCTCACACGTTCGTGGCCCCATAGGGAGCTCGCCGAAGGCCCCAGTGCATGCGTCGTTTCGGTCACCGTTCCCCCCATAGGGAGCTCCGCCGAAGGTCCCAGTGGGTGTGCCCGCATGCGTCCCGCACACCCATTTCGGCACACCCCTCACACGTTTCGTGGCCCCATAGGGAGCTCCACCGAAGGCCCCAGTGGGTGTGCCCGCATGCGTCCCGCACACCCATTTCGGCACACCCCTCGTACGTTTCGTGGCCCCGTAGGGGGCTCCACCGAGAAGATATTCACAATCGCAGTAGTCACAATTGCATATGGTTGGGTCCTTCGCCAGTTTTTTTTTTTTTTTTTTTTCTTTTTCCCCCCCCCCCGTTTTTTTATTTGTCTTTTGTATATATATATTTGTATATATATATATAAAGGACTGTTATTTAATCGCTTCGCTCATGCCGCCGGCCCTGGAGCCCTCTTTAGGGCCTCTTGGGGGCCTCTTGGGGACCTCTTGGGAGTCTCTTGGGGCTCCTTGGCGGCGTTTTGGAGGCCCCCAGGGCCTCTTGGGGGGCTCTTGGGGGTAGTCGATTGCGGCTCCCCCCTCGGAGGCCACGATCCTCGTGAGGGGTGTCGAAAAATACCCTCCCCTGGAGTGGTCTGGTGGCTTCTCCCGGGCTTCTCTCGGGACCTTGCCGGGGTACTTTTCGTCCGGGGGCCCCCAGGGGCCGCTCCGCGCGCGCGAACTAGAAATATTGTTAACAAGTTACCGGAGATCTTAGCACGCCTCTGGCCCGTTGGGCCGGCGAATTGTTGTTCCCCCCTTCCGGTAACCATAACATTTCTTAAATTGAGGTGGCCCTCCCGTGGTTCGCTCCTTTTCTTCTATCTGTACGGGCTTCGCCCCCTGCCGCTTGCCCCCTCTCCCGGATAATGGGATATGCAAGAGCTATGTTGTGAGGCCCGGGCGCCGTCGTGAAGCAGCGTCGGAACTCCGGAAAGGGGGCCGCTTGAGATATGACATACATGCGCGTAATGCGTCCTCGGAGAGGCGAGCACAGCGTAAGTTTTGCAGGTGTATGGCTTCGGGGACGCGCACATTTTGTACTGCGCGAAGGATTATGGCCTCGGAGGCGCGAACATGGCGTAATTTGCAAGGCATTACGGCTTCGCGACGCGAATCTTAGGTATTTTCACTTATCCCAAAGCCCCCCAGAAATTTTGAGACCCCCCCCCCCGGTGAAGGTAACCATGGTCCTTTTCGGCTCCCCCCCTCGCGCGGATTTCAACAGTTCACAGTAGGAAGCAGATCACAGAATTGTAACAGCGGAGGTTGGAAACTGGAATTGGAGCAGGGAGCAGCAAGCCTGTGCCTCCGAGCCTGATGGCCCGGCAAGGGGGTCTGCGGATCAGGGAAAGTTTGGGGAAGTTTGTTGTCACCAAATTGTGTTGTTGGCCCCCTGCTTGCAACAACAACGGCTCCCGCCTGATGTTTCCCCACATTTTGTTCTGATTCGCGCTCTCGCGCGGGACTTCTCCAACACTTCCTTACAGTTGATTGTGGCGCCATGCCTCCATTCCTTCGCTGTGGATCTCTTAGCGGTTTAGTTGGGAATCGCGCTATCTCTCGAACCCTTCTTGCGATTCATGTTGGATTCACGCCTCAGCGACCTGCTCACTCTGCCCGGCCGCCTGGGTCCGCCCACCCGACCTGCCCGTTGGTGCCCGCCTGCCCGAACCGCCTGTTTGGTTTCGCCGCTTGTGCTCCTGCTCCTAACCGTAAGTCGGGCCTGTCCCCCTACAGGGGGATTTCGGGCGAAAATAAAAGATATTGAAACAATATTCCAAAATGGTCAAAAACTACACCAAAAATAGTCCCCATGCCATTTTTGGTCTATTTTTGAATATCCCCCCTGTAGAGGGACAGGCCCGACTTAATCCTAACCCTCCTCCTGCAAATCTCTCTCGTGCTCCATCCTGGGACCGCCCCAACAATGTAGGCAGCATCTTCTCTAGCATACTTTCTGCAAATGCTTGGCGCATGCGAGGTGGATTAACCTTCTTGGTCCCCGAGCGCCATCGACTATTCTCGACACTCCGGCCAGCAAGCATCGGGTGGAGCCCCCGGAGAAGCCTCCACCCGGGGTGGCTCGAATTTCGAAGTTTGTTAGGCAGGGGCGGCATGAGAATCGCAAGAAGGGCAGTGGGAGCCCTTCCTATTTTGCCCAGCTCGCACTCGTCGAAGAGGGTAAGGAAGATGGGGGGAAACCTGGACGGCCTTGCCTTACTAGGCCTTAGGTGCCATGATTGTGCACATCCGGGGTCCAAAGACGGGCGCTTGGTGCTCCATCCACCCGACGCCTGGGAAGCGCGTCCTTGCAATTAGAAGCCCCAAGTGGGCCTGGAATAGGTCGTCCGATGCTTGAACCTGTAAGCTTATGTCGGGCGTGTCCCTACAGGGGGATTTTCGAGGAACAATAAAACATACCCCCAAAATACCCCAAACAGGTCAAACCATACTCCAAAAATAATACCCAGACTGTTTTTGGAGTATTTTTTGATTCTGTTTGGGGTATCTTGTACTTTTCGTCGAAGATCACCCTGTAGGGGGACATGCCCGACTTGACTGCAAGCGCTGTCTGGGGGGGTGGTGCAGTCGTGGCCTGCCAGGTGCGAGGCGGGGGGGGCGCCTTCGCGCCTCCGAGCGGTCGAGAACGTCGGCGAGCCGAGGTGTGGCGAGCCCACACCTGCACAGTGCCAGCAGGAGGAGGAGGGGAGGGGCAGGAGGAGGGAGGGAGGAGGGTATGAGGGAGCGAGGAGGGAGAAGAGACGGAGGAGGAGGTAGGGGAAGGAGGGATGAGGGCGGGAGGGAGGGCGGGAAGTGCGGGAGGGTCGGGCGGGCGAGGCGGGCGGGCGGGCGGGCGGGCGGCGGGGAGGATGAGAGGAGGAGGAGGAGAGGAGGAGGAGGATGAGGGAGGTGGAGGAGGAGGAAGAGGAGGAGGAAGGGGGATGGGGGAGGGGGGAGGGGGGAGACGAGGGAGGAGGAGGAGGGAGGAGGGAGGAGGGAGGAGGGAGGGAGGGAGGGAGGGAGGGGAGGGAGGGAGGGAGGGAGGGAGTAGGGAGGGGGGAGGGAGGGAGGGAGGGAGGAAGAGGGAGGGAGGGAGGGCGGAGGGAGAGAGGGAGGGAGGGAGGGGAGGGGAGGGAGGAGGAGGAGGAGGGGGATGGAGGAGGAGGAGGCGGAGGAGGAGGAGGAGAGGAGGAGGAGGTGGTAGGGAGGATGAGGAGGAGGAAGAGGATTGAGGAGTGTGGAGGAGGAGGAGGAACGGGGAGAGGGGGAGGCGGAGGGGGGGGGAGGAGGGGAAACGGAGAGGAGGGGAGAGGCGGAAGTGAGAGGGATCGAGGGAGGAGGATGGAGGGTTGAGGGGAGGAGGGGAGGGAGAGGGAGGAGGGAGGGAGGGAGGGAGGCGGGAGGGAGGGAGGGAGGAGGGACAGAGGAAGGACGGAGGAGGGAGGAGGCCGTCGGACTGTTCAGCCGTGCGATAACACGTCGCATTGCTGCCGGCAGGCGGAGCGCGCGCGCGAGAGGTTGGGCTATTCGGCTCGACATCGGCGATTCCCTCCTGCTCCTCCTCCTCCTGCTCCTCCCTCCTCCTGCTCCTGCTTTATCTGCTCTCCGCCCTCCTCCTCCTCCCTCCTCCCTCCTCTCCGCCTTGCCCATCCTCCTCCTCCTCCTCCTCCTCCTCCTCGTCCTCCTCCCTCCTCTCTCCCTTCCTTTCTCCCTCCCTCCTCCTCCTCCTCCTCCTTCTCCTGCGCGCAGGCTTCACTGGCAAGGCTCAGAGGGCAGCTGCATATTTGCGGACGGACCTGGGTAATGGGAGTACGCGTGCGAGGGCCACGCGGGGGACACGCTTCCAGAAGTACAGTAGAATGCATGATCATATTTAGAGGTATAAGGCGGCATGGCAAAGGCACCATATCACGTCCAAGCTGGAGCGGCTCGGAGCGCAGGCTGCTGGGTCCTACGCCTACCAGATCCACGGGGTCTTCGGCACGTACCTCAACACCTATCGGCGCAGGTTGGGGGCTGCATCGGGGGCGTCGGACAAGGGCAGGTGTCTCACCACGCTCATCGGCCTGAAGACCCCGCGGACCCAGCGCTGCGCATGCCAGAAGAGTGTGGGAGGTTATGGTTCCGCATCTGGCAGCAGCAGCCGTTGCTGAGAGCGGGGGTGCATGCGGCGTGGAACGCGGTGGTCGCTCACCTGCGGCGGGTTGAGCCGAACCATCGCTTACGCCACATTCGCGGACCGCTGTCGGCGATGGTGGCGCTTTTGCTGGACAACGGCTGGGATCCGCAGTCCGCCATCTGCTGGGCCATGCCGCCTACGGAGTCGGGGGAGGTTATCGAGTGGCAGTTTC